GCAAAATAATTTTTATTTGGTAACATTTTTTCTAAGGGTAAAACACAAGCACTACAGGAAAATCCTTAAGGCGCTCCTAGAGCGGTGACTGTGCAAAAGTAGCGATTCACATTGGATTTGAATCGCTGGAGATTAAATCCATCCTCAGGAACTTTATTCTACATAAACGCAGTTCTCCAGATGAAAGAGTTCTCAAACAGTGAAGTTTGAGGTGTACTAAGTTGAATCTCAAAACGATGAGCAGCCACAGTCTGTCGTGCATTTCTGATATGCACCGCTCCTGGTAGATTCAAATGTACCAAGTCACTTGAACACTTCCCGTGGAAGGTTCTATAGAAGAGAGACAAATCGCCAACCTTTCTTCGATGTTCCAGGCTACCAAGGTTGCACGTGATGTTCGCGTCTTCTGGCTATTTTCTGGATGGAATCCAGCAACTTCAGAGTATGTTTGGGGGCAGAGCTTCATACATGAGAACAATACTCCAAAGAAGGTCTTATTTGAACTTTATAAGGCATCAAAAGTTGCTGAGGTGTGTACAGGTTTCTGGTTCGAAACAGTGTTACAAACTTTTGGGAAGCTGCTTTTGCGATTCCAGCGACATGATTGTGTAAAGACATATTATATTCGAGAGATATCCATCGATGGCCACTTGAAAGGAACGTTCTTTCAGGAAGCTGAAGAGTCATACACAGAAATGATCCGACAAGCCATAGCATCGAAGTTTGGCCAACAAATCCTCATGCCACATATTCATCACTAATCGAATGAGAGCCAGTTTAACGCCCAAATATTTCATATGCTTCACAAGTTCTATGTCATACAATGTACCTTGATTATATACTGATGATAGACAGAATACAAGTAAAGATGACAACTTGCAAATTGAATAACAAAAGATTTTTCAGCAATGAGTACAAAAAGTCTCTTCCCAAATGGTAGAGTAGTCAATCTGAGGAATAACAAAATTTTATGTTAGGAAAACTACAAGATATCTCGTTTTCGAATTAGATTAGAAATTTTTTTTGACAGTTGCATGATGCATAATTCAACAACGAATATTTGAACTTTTGTATTTACACTTGTCAAATATCATTAGTCACCATTCTCGCTCACCATGTCACTCACAACGTGGTCATCTCGAATAATAGTTTCTTCTCCCAGAATAGGTACAGTGTGTACTAAAATATAGTTATAATGGAAGTCAATGCTTACATTTTCTTCAAATGTTCTCCATGCTCCTTATTCTTTTTGTACAGTTTTTCTTCTTTTTCCTTCTTCTCCCTCAGTTCATCTTCGGCATTCTTTTTAACAGTTTCGGCAAATTCCGCTTCCAGTTTTTCGTTTCGCTCCTTAATCGAGTTTTTGAAATTCTTTTGCTTTTCCCTTTCATATAATATTTCACTAGTCACAAATGCACTCGTGAGTTCACGCGCATTTCCTGTATTCATAAAAATTTGTTTTTTCATTTTATCGACGTAATCTTTCCTAATTTTCTCTTGCTCTTTTCTTAGTGCGAAAAATTTCTGGTTTCTGTCTTCTTTCTTCTGTTCTATTTGTTGCAATCGTTCATCTTCTTTTCTTTTTCGAATATTCTGCAACAAATCATTGATTGTAAAGTATAATCTGAATGAGAAAAGCAATATTTCTCAGTAACGATGAGATTGGAACTTTTGGTGTGAAAGTTGAATAACTTTTTTCGAGATCAATTGCCCTAACATCAAACTGATATTTTTGCACTCGGCGCGCGTTTCGCGAAAATTGATCAATTTTCTTCTCCTGAGGATGCTAACTTTGTTGGCGAAACGCGCGTCGAGTGCAAAAATATCAGTTTGGTGTTAGGGCAATTGATTTCGAAAAAAGTTATTCAATATTTCCTAGAAGAAATGATAAGAGCTGAAAAAAGTAATATATTTTTGTTGGAAAAAAATAGATGAGAAAATTTCAACTTTTCGTCTCTCATTCAAGGCCAATTGATTAGCTTGAAAGCAACAATGAAGATACAGACAAACTCCACTATTGTATACTACTTATTATAACAAATACTAATAATATGTATACATACATAGATAATTAGATAGATAATTTATTTGGCTATATCATATACATACGCATATTTATAGCAAGTCATTTGGTCTTACAAGATATTGAGTAAACAATTTAGTAATACAATATCACACTTTCACAAGTAATTACAAAATATCACAACACATAAACATACCAAAATATAAGAAACACTTCAAAACCTAATCATCATACACAAACAGTACATTAACGGTAAGTATGTTCTCAGAGCTGAAGGCCGCACCTTGAATATTTTCCAAGTACTTATTGATTAAGCAAAAACAATTTTTTAGCAAAAACGATTTGATGGTTCGTTCAAACTTATTCATACCCATTGTTTTGATATGAGGCGGAAAATTGTAGAGAATAAAATCTAAAGCTTTTTTTTTGTGAAGTAGCAAGCCTATATCTAGGAATTTTGATATTGTCAGAGTTTCTAGTGTCATGATGGTGGATGCCAGCATGTGTAGTGAGGTTGGACGATGTTTTGTGTATTTCAAGAGGTGAATTGTAAATGACAAGGACGAAATAATCTTGATTCTGAGTTTGATGCATAAATGTCTACACGTATCTCTATACCTTATATTACCTAATATATACATTGGTTCAACGAAAATTGCGAGCAAGCTGTCGTCTCCAAAAATCTCGCCTACCGACAGTGGCGCAAAAATCTCACTGCCAAAAACCGAAATCGGTTTATTAATGCTCGCAACAGCTGCAAACTTGGGATAAACGAAAGCAAAGAACTTCACAATCAGAGAAGTAGGGATAAACTGCTTGCCAATCCCAACGGGTCTAGATCCTTCTGGTCGGTAGCTAAAGCTGTTAATCAGAACATTAGAAAATCCACAATTCCACCACTGATTCAAGCGGATGGTTTAATTGCAACAACAGCCATACAAAAAGTAAATTTACTAGTTGAACAATTTGCGTCCCACTCCACAGTCGATTTTCTGGGAAAGTCATCACCCACTATTTCCACACTAGAATCCACAATGCCGGAAATTAATTTTCGACAGCCCTGATGAAGTGCCTGTCATCGTACTTAAAAAGTGTGCAAATGAACTCGCACCAGTATTTTGCAGACCTGTCTTGCAAAAAAGGGGTTGGTTCTTCATTCTTGTTCAAAGATTGCTCGCGTTCAGCCTATTTCCAAACAGGTCAAGAATAGGCCAGTCGCTTCACTATCAGTGATATTAAAATTCACGAAAAAAGTCGTAAACAACCATTTCCTCAAATATTTGAAAGGCTTCAACATCTTGAGCGATCATCAATATGGCTTTCAGAAACAAAGATCAACAGGCGACCTTCTATCGTATGTCAACCATATTTGTAATAATGCAATCGAGAAACATGGAGAATCAAGAGCTGTTGCGCTTGATTATTCTAAGGCCTTTGACCGTGTGTGTCATGAGGGTTTGCTGGCCAAACTTCGATGCTATGGCTTGTCGGATCATTTCTTTGTATGGCTCTTCAGCTTCCTAAAAGAACTTCCCCTGCAAGTAGCTGTCGATGCATATCTCCCGAAGACTTTCTCCATCAACGCTGGTGATCAACGACTTATTGGAAAAAAACGAAAATCCAATATATTGCTTTGTTGACGACTGCACACTTGTCTCATCATTCCATTTGGATTCCAGAACATCGGCTACGGAGGCACATCTTCACCGGCAGCAGGAGGTTGCATGTCTCAATGCCACAAAAACCCAGGCATCAGTTTTCTCCAAGAAAATTAATGTCTCCAAACCGGATATAATAATGTCAAATGAGACAATTTCGCTATCTGCTTCTATACGTTTGTTGGGGTGTTAGAAAGAACACCAATATGTCGTGGCACGATCATGTTGCTGGAATTGCAAAGGCTGCTTCTCAAAAACGCTTGGAACACTGTTCCATACCAGAAAACTACTTCATAAAGCCCAGATCAGACCTTCTTTGGAGTATTGTTCTCATGTATGGAGCTCTGCACCCAAACATATCCTGAAGTTGCTGGATTCCATCCAGAAAAGAGCCATCCGCCTGATTGGAGAAGCGAGCATCACGTGCAACCTTGATAGCCTGGAACATACTTTCACGGGAAGTGTTCAAGAGACTTGGCACATTTGATACCACCAAGAGCAGTACATATCAGAAATACGCGACGGACTGTGGCTGCTCATCGTTTTGAGGTTTAACTCAGAACACCTCGAACTTCACTGTTTGAGAACTGTTTCATCTGGTGAACTGCGTTAGGGCCCCCGCGCACTGGCAACTTTAATCACCAGCAACTAAACAGTTTACTCACCTATGAATTGTCCACCACCGCGCTGGCGACTAAAATAGTTGCCTCTCAGCGCAGTCTACAATGGATATCGCAGAAGCCACCTGTGCTGTTGCGCTTTTCTGAGACAGCGAAAAAATAAGCAAAGGAACAAAACGTTTTGGGTATATCCATTAATTAGGTCACGACTTCTTGACGGGCAATTTTATAAGCTCTTCGACAGATTGAAAAAACATCCAAACAAGTTCTTCAAATATTTTAGAATGAGCATAGAATCTTTTGATAGTCTATTGATTTCTCTTGGCACACGAATTACTTACTGAAATATACCATTACGATAGGCTATACCACCTAAAGAAAGATTGGCAGTGACTCTAAGGTACGTACATAAAGAAAACATTAATTAACTCTACCAAATATTGATAATTTATTGCAAACTAAATCGCATAAAGTACAAATAAAATAGATTTATTAGTATTTAATTGTTAAATGGCATTTTTAGTTAATGAAAAATTGTTCCCATTCAACTTGGGTACTGACTGAGACTGATGACAGAACCCCTTCAAATTGCTGTCTTGGCTCAAATGATGAAAAATATTGAGCTGTAGAACAGTGCGCGAGCTTACGTAGAAATTCACGTTGGTCATTTCTGCCGGCAACTGTTTAGTCACCCTTGGAATAGGTCTACATGCAATTATTTAGTCACGGCAACTTAAAAGTCGCCCGTGCGCGGGGCCGCATTCAATACCGTGTGCTTCATCTAGATTTCTTTAAAGCAACAGAATAGTTGCTTTGACAAAGTTGCCAGTGCGCGGGGGCCCTTAATGTGGAATAAACTTCCTGAAAACTTTTTTCCAATTGGATTTAATCTCCAGCGATTCAAATCCAATGTGAATCGCTACTTTCGCACAGGCACCGCTCTGAGAGAGCCTTAAGGATTTCACTGTTGTGCTTGTGTTTTGTCCTTAAAAAACATTTTCTGTTTCATAATGATATCCATTATGATACAGATTTTTCATAACGATACAGATTATCAACCAATAGAAACCCATGATTTTTCAATGAAGAATCCTGTTCTTTGTTTGTCCTAGATTCTAACCTGAGTAACTAATTGCTTTATTTGTCATATTACCTACCTATATTATCAAAATGTCTGAAAACGGCAATATAGAAGGAATACCATCGACTGCAATATTTTTAAAAGATTAGATTAATTACAGTTGTTATATTCAATATAAATATAATTACAATCTTTATAGTTTTCATATATCCATGATAATACCATTAAGTTTGTGTTTTTTTATTATTTATCGGGTTTAGAAAAAATAGCGTATGCAACTCTCATGTAATGGTTATTAATACACTCGCATATACCATACAAAACTCGCCTTCGGCTCGTTTCGTATCCCGGTTAATGCTCGTGTCTTAATAACCATCATTACATGATCGTTGCATAATATACTATTATGATACTAAATAATAACGTTTAAACAAATAACAACACGACAAGTAATTGAATGATAAGACGTAGAGTCAACTTTTCGAAGAAATGTAAGCTGTTGATATGTAGGAAGTAATGGGTTTTTTTGTTATGGTGCTTTGTTATTGTGTTGGTGTTTAATTTGTATAGGGTCTTCCGAAAGGGACTGCCAAATCACCATGGACGGATATAGCATTCAACAACACGTGCAAATAATAAACATGTTTTATCAAAATGAGTCTACTGTTCGGGCAGCACACCGCGCGTTCCGCACATTTTACGGTCGTCATAATCGTCCTACCGAGAGGAGTATTCGCAATATGGTGGATAAATTTGAGTTCACTGATACATTAAACGATCGACCAACACCCGTAAGTCGACGAAACGCAAGATCTCCCGAAAATATCGCCACTGTCTGTGAGAGCGTGCAGGAGAATCCGACGCAGTCGATTTCGCATCGCTCAAAAGAACTCGTCCTTTCGCAGACCACAAATTGGTGAATTTTACGTCGTGACTTGGGCCAGGACCCGTACAAAATTCAATTGACCCAGGAACTGAAGGTAAACGACCATAGACAACGACGTGTGTTCGCGGAATGGGCTCTGGAGTAGTTGACAACTGATCTCGAAAAATCATTTGCAGCGATGAGGAATTTCTGGATGAATGGGTACCTACATGAACAAAGAAAATTGTCGAAATTGGAACGATACCAATCCACATGAGATCCAAGAGCATCTAATGCCTCTCGAAAAAGTCACTGTTTAGTGTGGATTTCAGGCTGGCGTCATCATCGGTCCATATTTCTTTGAGGACGACGTTGGACAGGCCATCACTGTCAACGGCGAACACTATAAGCTGATGATTATCAACTTATTTTCTTGAGTCGCAGGTGTATGTGAATAAGTCACAAACCACATCGGTCTTCAAAGCCAACATAACCTATACCATCGGTCAAATTTATCCTGATTTATGCGCCAGAGTCATGGAAAATTGGACATTTCGGATACGCTCCACCCAGAGAAGCCCGTGGCGGATATTTGAAAGATGATTCTACACATAATGGCATCAAACGAATAAAAAATTCGATGATAACTTATACACGCTTTGTTTTATTCAAATCTGAAGATAGAAAGCGCTTATTGAAACACCTTATATTTCATGTAAACCTTCTCCTAACTTTTGAACAAGATGTACGTATCAAACTCGTAAAAGATTCAAGAAATAGAGAATATAATAAAGAAATAATGTGATGCCAGATGAAGAGGGTTTTTGTGATATCTTGTTTAGCATTTCAATTCTCTCCCCCAACCAAATCATCAGCAGACGTATGTTCTTTTTGAAAATCTGCAAACAAACGATATTTTTAAACTCACTTCGGTTCATTCCAATAAATGTTGAAAATGTTTTCCATCCACTTCGTGACAGAAATTAATTTTGTACCTGTAAATAATTCAAATTACTATCGGACCGTATTTTTCAACCACATTTATTCAAAGAACCTCTATATTTGGACATTCTGTAAAATCGTTTCAGGCCTATGATTGTTCAGGCTAACCTAAATTAATTTTCGACTGATGTTATCTTATATTATCACACGCTGATACTCGACTGACTCGATGACATTCATTTCGACCGGTGGAAAGGCAGACGTGATTCATCAGAATGGCTCGCTAGATCACCTGATATGCCGCTCATAGATTTTTCGCGAGCATTCATGCACTCTAAAGTGCAATCTGATTCGTAGTCCGTTCTAGAACTAATTGATAGAATAAGAGGTGCTTGCAACGTGTATTATCCAGAAACTTTCCGAAACGTAAGCTATGAAATTGTGAACAATCATTATATTTTTAACTTTCATTGGGCTGAACCGAAGTGAGTTTTGAATAAATATTTTATTGAAATAATGATATTTATCACATGTTTGCAAATAAAAAACAGCTGATTCCTCAGGAATGGCTAATTCGATTTAGAAAAATACACCAGTGTTAGATAGAGAACCTTTTGAATGGGATAATACAAATTCAAAACGAAATAATACAAATACAGATATTGCAAAAAAGTGATAGCTGCCGCTCAGTGACGAGTGATGATACATTATTGCTCTTTTTATCAAAAAGTATTCAAAGCAATGCATTTTTGTTCGACCTTGTCACCCTGTTCATTAAACAAATTTAAGAGTGGAGGGGGATCCTTTACATCCTACTATAAAGTTTTATCTTACAGACTGAATATACCTTCTTTAAAAATCTTTCTCATTTCAATTATATTGTTAATTTTCAACAAACCTCCAGTGAATTCTCCCAATTTCGTATCATCGACTTGGAACCTTCATCTAAATATTTCTTTTTGTTCTCCTCCTTTTCTATTGCTTCTTGAATAAGTTTCTTCCTGTCTAAATGCTTGTTGATTTTTCCCCATTCTTTCGAAGTAATGTGTAAAGCGTGGGCTCTATCTGATATTTTGGTGTTGGACAAAGTTTGCCCTGGAAATAAATACCATCTTGATTCCATTACTCGAAAATTCCTAAAATAACTAAAAAGTAATACGACAAATGTTTTCAAAATGTCAGTATGAGAACAGTCAGATTCTATTCGATAATCGATAGGCGCGTTTCTTGGCAACAGGTTGTTTGAAAATCTACAGGGTACAAAATGTACAGTGTGTTAGGTTAGACGTTTCTGGAAAATGCAGCGATCAACATTATTTTCAGCATTCGGGCGTTGCAACTTCCACCAAAAAGTCCTCGCAAGTTTTTTTTTAATAGAATACCCCGTATATTACCAAATTTTTGAAATTGCTATTTTATTATAATACTTTTTTTGTTAATAATATCCGATACCTATCTCTATCGGTTTTGTGCTAAATATGGTCCAAAACATACANATTGTAGTAATATTATAGTAATATATTGTTAGGATTTTTTCAAAATTCATGAACTGTGAACCAATAAATTTCATACTATATCAATATAATAAACAGTGCAATGAAAATAAAACATAATTGGGCAACTCATTTTTTGATTGAATTTACCTGAACTTTTGTTTTCTCTGAAATCTAGTGAGATATTTACGTTTTATTCTGACGAGGCTTCCTGTATTCTTGTATTATTATTTCAAATAAGTGTTATTTTCTTATATTGTGGAATGTGACTTCAGAAAAGGAAGAGTATGGGAATTAGTATTATTTTAATTATTTTGTCTGTAATATGTCTAATCTTTTAGATGGTTACGAAAAATTTCAACCCAGCTCAAGATGGAATATTACAAGAAGAATTGCACTAACGCAAAATAATTTTTATTTGGTAGAATTTTTTCTAAGGGTAAAACACAAGCACTACAGGAAAATCCTTAAGGCGCTCCTAGAGCGGTGACTGTGCAAAAGTAGCGATTCACATTGAATTTTAATCGCTG